CACCATGCCCGGCTAATTTTTTCTATATATATATTTTTAGTTGTCCAAATAATTTCTTTCTATTTTTAGTGGAGACGGCATCTCACTCTTGCTCAGGCTGGTCTAGAACTCCTGAGCTTGAGCGATCCACCGCCTCGGCCTCCCAGAGTGCTAGGATTACAGGCGTGAGCCACCACGCCCGGCCTCGGCACCCTTTTTGAAAATCAACTGACGACAGATGAGGCAGGGTCTATTTCTGGACTCTCAGTTCTATTCCACTCATCTATATGTCTATCCTATGCCCGTATTACACTGTTGGATTACTGTAGCTTTGGAGAAAGTTTTAAAATTCCAAGTATGAGTCCTCCAACTTTGCTCTTCTTTTTCAAGGCTGTTTTGGCTATTTGGGGCCCCTTGCAATTCCATATTAATTTGAGGATAACTTTTCCCATCTTTTCAACAAAAGCCATTGACATTTTGATAGAGATTGCATTGAATCTGTACATTGCTTTGGGTAGTATTTACATCTTAACGGTATTTAGTATTCTAATCTATGGACCTGGAATGTCTTTCTATTTATTTAGGTGTATTAAATAATTTTTTCAACAATGTTTTACAGCTTAGTGTATAAGTTTTGCAACTCCTTGGCTAAATTTATTCCTATGTATTTTACTCTTTTTGATGCTATCATAAATGAAACTGTTCTCTTAACTTCATTTCAGACCATTCGTTTCTAGTGTATAAAAATGCAACTGGTTTTTGCGTTCTGATCTAGTACCCTGCAACTGCCAAATTCATTTATTAGTTTTAAAAGGTTTTGGGGGGAGTCTTCAGGATTTTCTATAAGAAATTTAGTTTTTCAGTTAAGCAATTTGAGTTTGTCCCTTTGAATATCCACAATTCTCTCACCACTTTTTTCAAAGGCAAATACAAAGTCCATTCAAAATGGTAAACCCAATGTTACTTTATAAATGTTTCACCAAAATAACTATGAATAAATAAAAGAGCTTAGAAATTTTCCCATTAATGCTTTTAAAATGTCTCCTGGTTGTTTGAAAAAGACTAGAAGGTATATTTTATGAAAACTGAAGTACATATTAGCTTCTGTTTCCTCATATAATTTTAAATACTTTT